TCCCTGATTATTCATTGACGGCTTTTGATCCAAACCGCACGGATCCGAACCTCACAAAACAGATGATTCAACCTGCTTATGTTGGCGTGGCACTTGATAACCCAGCAACCAGAGATTAAGTTTTTTTTGCAGAGTTTAATTCCAAAAGGCATGTAACCGCGATATACGAAGGGAACCCATAATGAGTCCAAAAAACTGTCAGATAAAGGCATTTTGTGCACTTTTATCGACTTTTATCATCCTTATTATTTCCCCACTGCTTCATGCTCAAAGTAGCCTTTTACAAACACGGTCATTTAATACGCATAGCATTCATGATATTGCTCATGGGACACAAATTAATTCAAACTCAGGTTTGTCTCCATTCCCGTTCGCATCTCAATCGGTCGGACTTCAAGTAGCTCTCGGTTGGCGCAGTAGAAACGATCCTGATTTGCGAACATCATTGCCAAATGGATATGACCCATATATTCGAGGAACTTTTGAGTCGGGGATTAACAAAAATTCAATTTTGCAGGACGATATAACTCGTGTCGTAGATGCTTGGGCTCGTACGAACACTTTTAATAATGGTCAGTCAAGTGCCATTATGTCAAAAGACTCACGAGATGGTGTACCCAACACTCCGCAAGGAGATTATATTGAGACAACAAACATTATCAATGCTCCTTCTGGACTTTATCAGGCAGCGGTCATCAATTACAACAATAATAATGTCGGCGGAGTTAATCCTACGGTTGATTTTACCTTGTCTTTTTTAAAGGATGGGGCAGGTATTCTCTTGACACCTGATTACAAAGATTTAATCAGTGATGGAGAGGGGAATGCCTTATTTACATCAGGTACGATCGTAGGCGAAGGCAACGCCTCTCCTATTTATTCAGTCTATTTATTTAACCCAGGTTTGCCAACGGCACATTCTCAGGGAGTGTATTTCACCAATCTGCTTAAAACACTACCCGCATCGCAATTAGCAAGAAATGCTATAAATGTACCGCAACAAACAAAATATAATGGAGTATCACAACAATATCTTGACGCAGAACGATATTTGAATATGCTATCGAAAGATCGCAACGGCGCTAGAGTTCTCGCCCTCAGTGATCGAGTCGGCAAAAACAAAAATCCAAGTCCTGATGATACGATGATTGTAAGGTTTCGGGGGAAAGACATCACCATTACCCGTGAACAATACAAGGCGTATCGAGCAGACGCGATACACAAAGTTCGGGGCAATGAACTCCTCGCGAATCTTCCACAATATGTTATCGAGCGACTCCCTCAGACGCAACAAACTGTTTTTGAACAACGCATAACCGATAAGGCACTCGAGCGTAGGGGAATTACACGCCCAAGTGATGTCGGTCTGCGTAATGCAAAGAGCCTCAACTACGTCGATGTAGGGCAGGAAAATTATGAGTTGGGAAAACGTTCTGTTGAGGAAGAACGCAATATCCCACTGTATCAGAAGCGTGCCAATCAGCTCTATGCAGATATGGTGGGTGGTCGCACAGGTACGGGAAAGGCTAACTTCACCAATAATCAGCAACGCAATGTCGATGGCAGTCTGCGAGATGAGTCCTATGTGCGTACCTCGCAAGGGGTAGTGGCTCTGAACTCGGATCAATACGGCAAGATTAGTGGGAGTGCTACTCAAGAGATCCAACGTCAAGCAAGAATCCGTGCTGAGCGGGAAAGAATCAGACAAGAGTTGGCTAGACAAAAGGCAGATGAAGAGAGACGTAAGCTCGCTGCGACTAGACTAGGCTGTCCTCCTGCACCCATGACGTGTGACCTAGCAAGTCTATACAAAAACCAAGAAATAGAAAATCTCGTACATAACACGCCAGAAAAAATCGTTAACGATGCTTTGGGTCTCACGCGTAGTTATGCCGTCAACGTCACTTGGGTTGACTATAAAACCAACTGGTTAGGTTACGCATATATTGATGGAACAAGAGAAGAAACACTATATTTCAAAGATAAAGCCACCGCTGACAAAGTGGCAAAAAATGAGAATGAAAAATGGGATGCCATACATGAGCAGGAAAAATATGAGCGCGATCATGCACTCGCCTATGGGACGATAAAGGTGGTTTCGGTGGGGGCTCCCATTTTGTATGATATTGCGACGCAAAAGCTCCAAACAGAAGCAGTTATAGGGACTGTCCAAGGTTTATACGATGTTGGTTACAACACCGTAACAGGTACGTACGGTCTGGTCAACTATTACACCTCTGGAAAAGCTAAAAATGATTTTAACATTTTAATAAGTGATGGCGGAATCCCGGAATTTAAGCACTTGGAATCCGCAGCTTTAGACGTAGGAATTGAGTTAAAGGAAGGGACGATAAATAGCCTTAATACATTCGGTGAACTGGTTGTTCAGCGTAATTATAGAGAAGCCAGCAGAATGGCGACTCCAACTGCGATTGCTGTAGTTGCTCCTGCATATAAGGGCGTTCAGCTAATTAAAGGTCTTGGTAAGGTCAATCTGCCTGATGTTCCAGCACCACCGAAGCAACTAGCATTCCCTGGAGTGATTGATACAGCAACACGAGCAAGCATTTATGACAAATTGACTCGTTACTTATTGAATGCAGACCATCCAATTGGAGGCTCTAAAGCAAAATGGTTTGACTCAGCACTTGGATTTAATCAGGGAAATGTCAGTCAGCTTGCAAATCAGATTGTCTTTAACGAGGCTTTAGCTGTGCAAACGAGTGTAATAGAACAAGGAGTTAAATTTAATCAGGTTATTCCTATTACTGGCGCAAACGGTAAAGTAATTGACGTAACATTTGGATGGATTCGCAATAATGACGGAGTAGTTCGATTAACAACAGCAATTCCTACTAAAAAATGAATACAAAATTTTTTGAATACGACGTAGTAAAGTCAATTCGACCTCTTTGTGATGATGTGCCAAGCGGCACATCTGGGGTTGTGTTGATGGTTTTCATATCTGCTAACCCTCAATATGAAGTTGAGTTTGTTGATAGTGAAGGTGAGACACTTGCTGTGTTAACAGTGAAGGAGGAAAATCTTGAACTTATTCAACATGTAGCCTAATAGGGGTCTGCGTAGGTACGAATAACCCGTCCACAGGCGTATTCGTACGTATGAAACCCATGGTACTGTTCCATAAACCACCGTTTATTTAACACTTTAAAAAGCACCCTATAAAGGTGCTTTTTTTACGTCTTTTCTGTTCAGGAACTTGTTCAATAATCAAAGTATCATAAATGGTGGCGTTTTTGCGTTTTTGAACAATATAATTATTTGCTTTTTTCGCAAGACCGATTACAATAGTGTTACTTATCACTAATAGGTAACACCATGTCAAACATTGCCACAACGTCACAGACTTCCACTATCTCAGTTAAATTAGATAGTACGAGTAAAGACCGTCTCAAGTCCCTTTCTACTGCAAAAAAACGTACCCCACACTATCTCATGAAAGAGGCTATTGAGCGGTATCTTGCAGAAGAAGAAGCGGAACAAAAAGCTATACAAGAGGCAGCTGCATCGCTTGAGCATTACGAAAAGACAGGGCTTCATGTGACTCTTGAGGAAGTCAAACAGTGGGCAGAAAAACGAAAAACGCATCCTAATACACCATTGCCAATATGTCACACATAAGATTATCTGAACAGGCAAGACTTGACCTGATTCGACTCTATGAGTTCTTAGAAAAGTACGACAAGACCATAGCAGATAGATCAAATGCGGTAATAATTACCGCATTTGAGACTTTGGAAACGCTGCCAAAAAGTTGCCCGCTGTTACCAAACAGAAGGGATTTGAGAAAGCTCGTCATTCATTTTGGTCAGAGTGGTTACGTTGCATTTTACAATTATAATGAAATAACAGATACTTGCACGATAACAAAAATTAACCACCAACGAGAGAAATACAATTCAAAAGAGCTATAACGGAAGTGTAATCGAGCTCAAAACCCTTAGCGTACGGTTTTTTCCGAACTCTACAGCGCCCCCAAAAACACTGAAATTCTGAGTATTCGTGAATTTGTAGAACGGCACAGGAAAACTACGAGTTAGTATCAAAATAAGCGGTGAGTTTAAGTTTTTGAACAGTGTAAAATCATTTGCTTTTCTAGCTAACACAGCTATAATAGCTGTGTTATTACTTATTTTATAGGTCTATGAGCATGCGAATCGCTTCACTACAAGCTCAAAATAATTGGGGAAAAACTCTCGACACATCACAACATGAGCCTGTGATTGTGACCCGTTATAACCGTCCGTACTCGATTGTTATAAAAGCATCGGGAAGCCCACGGGATATTTATAAACAATATCTTATGGCGATGAGTGAGCTTTTTCCTCTTCGTGGTGCAGAGGCTCAAAATCAAATGACTCAAGTTCTCGATAGCATCGGGAATCAAGCGGAACGAGATGGACTGACTGAAAATGACATAACGCAGATCATTCATGAGTCAAGAAAATAAGAAAACCCCCATCGTTTTTGATACCAATACATTCATTAGTGCTGCACTCCTTCCCAACTCACAGAGCAAGAAAGCCCTCTATCTCGCTCTAGAGCGGTATCAGCCTGTTATATCGAGTGCCATTTTTGACGAGCTTGAGGAAGTAATCTACCGTCCACACTTGGATAAATATTTTTCAGCTGGCAATAATCGCAATGATTTTCTCTCATTTATTGCTCGCACTCATATATTTACCCATCCAGAGACCATCGTCACGGATTGTTCTGACCCTGATGACAATATGATTCTCGAATTAGCTGTAGAAACTCAGTCTCGATATATTGTGAGTGGCGATGCCCACTTACTTACGATGAATCCATTTAGAGGGATATTGATTTTACGCCCTCATGAATTTATCGAGGCCGAATCCTCTCAATAGACCTAGCCTTAGTGATAGGTTTAAATTCCATCAAAAAACCTATCATATAAGTTGCTTTTTTATTTAGATAGGTATACTATCATTACTTCTTAGATACTAATGATAGCTTTTATGATTATCGGATACGCTCGCACATCAACCACCGAACAACAGGCAGGATTCGACGCTCAGATCAAGGAACTCGAATCGATCGGTTGCACCAAGATATTTAAGGAGCAAGTCTCATCGCTCGCGACACGTCAAGAGCTCGATACAGCTATCGAGTATGCTCGAGAGGGTGATGTGTTTGTGGTAACCAAGCTCGACCGTCTCGCTCGCTCAATGCGTGACCTCATGCAGATCATCGATAGACTCGCACAAAAGCATGTCACCATCCGTATTCTCAACCTCGGACTTGATACCAAAACACCCACAGGAACCCTCATCTTAAATGTTCTCGGAAGCATAGCCCAGTTCGAGCGTGAGATGATGCTCGAACGCCAACGGGATGGTATAGCAAAAGCACGATCTGACGGCAAGTATCGGGGACGTAAGCCAATATCTGAGGAAATACGTCAATCTATCTTACGCATGGATGCTGAGCACATGAAAAAAACTGCCATTGCTAGGGAGCTCAATATTGGTGAGGCAACGGTGTATAGGGTTTTAGCTGAAGAGAAAAGGGCAAATCTTTCCGTCACAAAAAAATAATCCATATATTCAAAATCTTGATTGTCTTGTTTATAAAACGGATATTGCCCATTGCATTTTACGAACTAAGGGTACAGCAAGGAGTACGGTCTATAAGCCTCTCAGATGAGCGTATAACAGCCAATTTATTTTGTAATCTACATTCAAATATTTACCGATAGACTTCACGTCGATTACCAATTCTGACGACTAACACCTTTAATACAACGTCGTTATTCTCACCTATCAACCGTTAATCACCTATTCTGCATTTCCAAAATGCCCCTAACTCCTACAAGAACAGAGAGGAAAAGGATGTTAATGTTTGTGGACATTCAGGAAAAAGAAAAATTTGCTTTTGAATACAAAAGGTATATACTGTCATTACCTATTAATGACAAGTAATCATACTATGGAAACAGAAATTCCTACGGAACAAGCGAAAAATGCAACCGTGAAGCTCTCAAAGAAAGAGCGTGACGGCATTAAAACGATTGCCAGCCTCAGAAATCGTACTCCTCATTACATTATGAAGGAGGCTATTCAAATGTATTTACAAAAGGCTGAATCCGAACAAGTATTTATTCAAGCAGCTTTACAATCAAGAGAACATCTCAAGAAAACAGGATTGCATATTACTCAAAATGAATTCAGTACATGGGTGAACGAAATACAAAAAAATCCTAAAACGCCTATGCCTACATGTCACACGTAATTTATTCTGAACAAGCACTCTATGATCTCAATAGGCTCTATATTTTTTTGAGTGAAAAAGATATCGCCATTGCTCAAAAGGCAGTAAAAGCCCTTGATGAATCATTACAATCACTCGCTAAAAATCCAACTCTTTGGCGTGTTATTGAGCACGGACTGAGGGAGTACATTATTGATTTTGGGAAAAGTGGTTACATTGCCTTATATGATTACAACGAAGAGAGCGATTTAGTAGAAATCTTAGCCATTCGTCACCAATTGGAAAATGATTATAAGCTTCTTCCATAATGGGGCGTAAAGAGAGTTTAAACCCTGTAAAACCTTTTGTGAAACTGATCGCCATCAATAATGTGGGATAGATACCCTTATCAATTAAACAACTTACATATGAATTCTCAAGAATATAACCACCTTCTCAGTAAAGCCCGTGACGCTAAACGGGGCGGGCACTCTGCATGGTGAGCACTATCCACAGGTGAACAAGTTGCCGTCGCTCTCGTGCTTAATCGCGCAGATTAGCTGACGGAGATGGACTACACTATTGCAGAGGCTATTGACCGTGCTGGTGAGGCATGGGTAAAACTGATACCGATGGTAGCGAAAATCATAGAAAATGAATGCTAAACATTTGAAATTAAAGTATATTTAGTTTATAAGACCTCAACAGGCTTTATAGTCCGTTTTCTGTGGCGTCTTAAACAAGCAAGCACACACCATAGAAGCTTTTGATCAAGATGACATATTTTTTAAAACCATTCCTATTAAAGTTGACGCTTCTTTCCAACCAATAAGCCAGGGCACGATGCTCAACATAAGGAAACTCAGGCACAATCCGACACACTCTAAGCCTACTGAGTCTTCAGGCTTAATTTGTGCTTTTCCTGCTTTAAAGTTTTAACGGCTTTACTCTTTAATGTGGAGCATTCACCAAAATCTTTTGAATAAGTTCATTTCCAGCAACAATACCAATAAATATTGAGGAAAGTGATGCAAAAAGAATGCAAATCCAGACCTTGAATGACTCAATCAATATTCCTAAGTTCTTAAACAAATACAAAAATCGTTCTGCTCTCGTCTTGCAGATATCACTACAACAATCATCGTACCAACATGAATAAGAAAAGCTAAAATGTGCAATGCTTTCATGAATAAGAATATATGCTGACAACAAAAAACCTATTGCACACACAAACAAGCCAAAAGCATCTTGTTGGGTAAAATAAATTTTTACCCAACTAAATACGGCAAGCCCTACTAATCCCGAACTAGAGAATTGAATTCTTACACAGTCTAAAAAAAATTTTTTATGTTCTTGTGTATTCAAATATCTGCTTGGTTTTTCATTTGCCATCAAAACCTTTCTTAACACCACCCCACCTCATCACTCATGGTTTACTGATTCCAATCTGCTCGTATTTGATCAATATATTGCTGAGCTTCTTCGCCCGTGCCATAAACACTCGGTACACTCTGCGAAAGCGTCATGAGGCGTTTCATCTTGTTTTCATTCGCTTTCTGCTAATGCACTGCCCTAATCACCAAGCTTGAGCCGACGACTTCATAATCCAAATACTCATTTGGCTGAAGATGTAGCTGTTTCACCACCTCACTCGGAATGGTGATCTGATTTTTTCTCGGATACGTAACAATGGCATATACCCTCAACTTATTTGGATTTTCCTAAGCTAAGTATAACATTTTCTTAACACTTTTTACCTCACATCCCCCACCAACCGCTCATACCAAGCTCTACCCACCCCAATCACAAAGAGAAACAAACCAATACGCTGATAATCACTCAATGTATTTTCTCCGATAACCAGTGAAGTCACAAACAAAAAAATACCAGCCATCACCCATTCCGATCCTACGTTTTGCAGCAACCAGCGTCCAAAGGCAATAGTACCCACCATCAGAATTCCCATCATCACGAGATGTGTGGGTTCCAGATGCAAAATACGCCCTATCCACGCTATAAAATCTGCGAGTGTCATGGTCTCTAAGTTCTGCATGGCCTATCCCCTTCTCTATCCGTTCTCGACTATGTTTGCGAATCTTGCGAGTCAACAGCATCTACCACTTCTATAGTGTCTATTTTAAGCTCATTTTCTAGCATTTCTATACTTGGTAATAGATCAGCTAGTGTCTCTGGGAGTTCAGACCTTGTATGGTAGGTGGATACGCCCATCGGTGTCTCTATGCCTTTGAGTGCATAAGCGACTTTGGTTTGCTTTTTGCTTTTACAGAGTAACAGCCCGATAGTTGGAGCATCGTGTGCTCGGTCACGTACGAGGTCATCAACGGCTGCAATATAATAATTCAATTGCCCTGTATATTCAGGCTTAAAATCCGTATTTTTAAGTTCGATCACCACATAACAGTGCAACTTAGTATGGTAAAAAAGCAAATCAAGAAAAGACTCATCACCCTCAACGTCAATCCGATACTGATTCCCAACAAAAGCAAAGCCCACCCCGAGTTCAATCAAAAAATCCCGTAAATGCTCAATCAGCGCTTTTTCTATTTTGCGTTCATTAATTGGATCGGTGAGCTCCAGAAATCCAAAAATATAGGGGTCTTTGGTCATCTCCCTGGCAAGATCAGACTGAGGTGCTTGCAGGGTGCGATCAAAGTTATGCTGGGCTTGACCAATACGCAAATGCGCTTGGCTCTCAATTTGCAGCTCTAGAACGGATCGACTCCAGCCATTTTCTATGGTTTTTTTGATATACCATTCTCGAGTACTGGTATCCTTAACCTTCTCTATAATCAAACAATTATGAAACCATGGTATTTGGTCAGCAGCTTGCTGACCTATTAAACCATCTGGCCAAGCCTCTGCAAATCGCGCCATATACTTGAGGTTACTTGGCGAAAATCCCTTCATATCTGGAAACTCGGCTTTAAGGTCTTTTGCCAGTTGTTCAATAACCTTAGATCCCCAAGATTGTGAGACTCTCTGTTCAATAATTTGCTTCCCAATTTTCCAATACAAAAGCACCAGCTCACGATTGACCGCGAGGCTCGCTTTGACTCGAGCGGTACGAATCTGCTCTTTGAGGTGAGCCAACCAATTGTTGTAGTCTTGGGTTACAGGTGCATTCATACGCATAAATTCATGATATAAAAATTATTCCCATACGTTTCACCGCTTTTTTAGCCATTCTTTAAAGGCGCTGGCTTCAAATGGCGGAGCAATTTGTTTGGGGAGAAACGTATGTTCAAATTTGACCCGAACTGACATATTGGTAAACTCCCCCGTTTCGCGGTTGTACCCGTCTCTATGTTCTTCGCCCTCTTCAATAAAAAATAATTCAATGTAGCGCTGCTTTTCTTCTGATGTCAGCGACTTACGCGCCTCATTGAGGCGTTCTTTATTAAATATTTCAATCAGTTCTTTCTTTCGTGCTTCTTGTTCTGCTTTAGCTTCTTTTGCCATCTGTGCTTGCTGAGCTTGCTCTTTTTCTCGATCATAGGCACTTTTACCCACCTCTGCCTTATCCTCCATCATTTTACGAATATAGCCACCCTTTGACTTAATTTTTTGGTTTTTCTGCTCCACATAGTCCATCACCGCATCGGCTCGCTCTCGATCTTGTATTGTCCACAACAGGGCAAGCTTCTCACCAATTCCATGCTGAATCAATCGTTTATACGTTGGTGTTTCCCTTATTTCTGCGTATTCATCAAGGTTTTCAGAGGAAAAAAGACGAGCTTGCGGATTGTTACGAATATGAAATTTAATCGCAACTACTTTTCTTCCTTCTTTTTTATACTCTACCTCTACCTCTATTTCTGCTTCTCGATTAATTTCGTCTACCGCTTTTTTGATAACAAATGCAGACAATCTCTTAAAATCATCATATGTACTCGCATCAGCCCCTACCAACTTACGAAATTTTGCTAAATCCCACCACCCTGTTGAGGCAGGTACATCAGAGGTAATGAGCTTTTTGTATCGAACACAGTTTTCATAGAGCGTTAAAGCATAAGAACCACGGAATTTTCTTTGAACTCCAAGGTTAATGGTTGCATAGACCTCAGGATCAAACAATTTCTCTGCTAATGACTCATCATATCGGTAAGTACATATACCCTCTTCTATTTGCCCATAGGAGATCAATGCCATGACTGCCCAGGATTTTTCTTTACCATCTTCGAGGAGATTAAACTGAACTTTAGTTGAGGCTAATGTACTTAAAGCAATTTTCAGGCTTTCTGTATCTTTGCTATCATATCCAAGCATTTGGCAGAGAATATTGACGGGTAATTGATGGGTACGCTTGACTAACAGATCATCGTAAGCA